AGGGAGACAGCTCAGGGGACAGGAGCCCATGGAGCAATGGACACTGGGAAGAGGTAACTGTGGGGAGGAGTTGGGAGGGGAGCTGTTGCATTGTGGTAAACTGTGGTCAATATCATGAGACAAAGTATATATGAACTGATGTATGGAAAGTGAATTTGCTCTGTAAACCTTCACCCAAATCACAATAAAATAAAAAGAACAAGTGAAAGAATGTTGAAATGACCAGTTTTTCTTACATCTGTGTTTACCACAAAAAAAAAAAAAAAAACCTGAAGATAATAAAGCATTTGGTGAATAGGTTTTCTATGTATTTTAAATGGCTATTAACTTTAGCTTTATTTCAGCTGCTAACTAAAAGGTCACTCGTTCAAATCTGCCAACCACTTCATGGTAGAAAGATGAGGCATTCTGCTTCCATAAAGATTTACAGCCTTGAAAACCCTATGGGGCAGTTCTACTCTGTCCTATAGAGTAACTTTGAGTCAGAATTGACCTGATGGCAGTGGATTTGGGGTTATTTCAATATCTTGGACTGAGATTGATTTACCTCATTAATTCTCATCCAGCATTTCCACAGGTGGAGGTGGGAGGGAGAAGTACAGGTTGCTGACTCTCCAGTATTCCATGCAAGTAGTCATTTGTCCAGTTAAATTTTAATAGAACAATCTTTCACCTGAGATGAAGTTCAGTAAGAAAATGGTATGTGTGTGTCTGTGTGTGTGTGAGGAAGAGAAATAATCGAGGGATCATATCAGATCAACAGGAGAATTTTGTAGAATTGGTTATTTTTAAGTTCTTTGATCACTGGGATGATCATAGATAGAATACCCAAATGTTACTAAGGAATTGTCCACATACTGCATGGGTAAGTAGGTGGCTTTTCTGGACTATTAATAGAGAGTGTGTTTCCCTGAGGACCATACCTTACCATTATTTGACATATGTCTCAGTCACCCAGGGTTTCAGAACCAGGAAGGAAGAGCCATAAGTTTTAGGATCCTAGTCCCTGCAGAAGAAGATGGAGTTTTTTATAGCCTCCACTGATGGTTTCTTTTCATTGTTTATGTGCCTGCTCACTTGATCTTTCACGTTAAGTGATGCCCTGGTCCTCTGTTTGCCCTTTTTAGAGACGGAGAGCAGCAGCTCAATATTTCATGGCTTGAGAGCCATGACTCTCCCAACACCTCTAGTCTTTCCTTGAAAGTTATGCTTTGCATCTTGAGTCCAGTTTGGTTGCTCAGAAAGTGCAGAGACGATAGTCAGTCAATGTGTACATGAGTGAGTCCTGGCCTGTGCAGAATGATAAGAGTGATTTTTTTTTTTCCCTTTGCCCTCAAACCATTCACAACTCAACACAACCATTGCTGTGGAGTCAGATCCGACTCATGGCGACCCCTCCTTGGGTTTCTGAGGTAGTATCACTATGGAAGTAGATTGCCCAACCTTCCTTCCGAGGAGTGGCTGGTGGGTTTGAACCACCAGTCTTCTGGTTAGCAGTCAAGTGCCTTAGGCACTACACCAAACCATTGTTGTTATTGTTATTATGTGCCATCGAGTTGGATCCGACTCATAGCGACCCCCACCTTGGGTTTCTGAGGCAGTATCACTATGGAAGTAAATTGTCCAACCTTCTTTCTGAGGAGTAGCTGGTAGGTTTGAACCACCAGGCTTCTGGTTAGCAGTCAAGTGCCTTAGGCACTACACTACCAGAGTTTCCAAACCATTACACCCTCAAATTCTGGAGAACATGAGCATTCTCTTTTATAGGTATTTTCTCTAAACCTGAGCTGTCTCTTAGATCATGGATTCTCATTCATCCAGAGTAGAGATTTTGATAGCTATGTAAAGATAACCACAGATGAATGTGCTGGGGCTGTGGAGGAAGGGCACATGTCTCTCAAAGGGCTGTCTTCTACAGAAATCATTGTGGTCTAGGGGTATGGCCCCCAGGCTTCAGGTTATTAACTAATTGTAGTTTAGTTCACCAAGTGATCAGGCTGTCAAAAATTATTTTAGGGTGGTCAGAATTCCAAATATTGATTATCTGCCCAATTGGAATACTAAGTGGCTATCTTTCAGGGCACTGAGATCCTGGTATTAATGATAGCTGGGACACATGTATAATCCTAGGGTGTCTTGGGGAGTATGAGTTTAACAAAAGCAATCAGATTATTTTGAGGTTCTGTCTGTGCTGCTGGAGAACTATATTTCTTAATGTATACAGCTGTGGGAGTAAAACATTCCTAGTTACTGAAACACTTGTATCTGCCAGATACAGTATCTATGACTCTTCTGTCTTACTTCTTTCTGTTCCCCTCCTCTCCCACACTCCTGATTCCCAGACCATTCTTATTACAGTTCTGTTTCCAGCCACCACTCTTTTGATTGTCCTCATTATCACAATACCTTCTCCCATCATTTCTATAGATGTTCATCTTCTGCTCAATTTCCAAGTTTATAGATCATTGAAACTGCTTCCTGATGACCCATAGATCACTATCTAAATTCATCACCCTGTTAACAGCTAATCCCATGTACAGTGTCTCAGATGTGGCATTCCTAACTCCATCTAGGCTTGACCTCTTATATCTTACAATCTTTTCTAGCCAGGGCTGCAGTGGCAACACTCTGGAGGGATTCCAGGAGATTCTAACTTTGTGCAAAACTCCTGGAGTACAACTTATGAGCCAGAAGCCAGCTCATGTGAGGAAGCATTACATATTCTCCCAAATTTTGAACAGAGCCCCTAGGATCATCTAAAACAATCCAAACTCATTGCTGTTGAGTCAATTTGACTCATAGTGACCCCTCCTTGGGTTTCCTGAAACTCTGAAAATATCTGAGGCAAGGCTTAGTTAGCCACAAGCAAAACACACCCCCTCTTTTCCTTGCAGTGTTATGATTCCCTGCCGAGAGAATGTGATCTCTTCTCCACTGCTGTCTTCACAAGGCATTGTTGAACCAGCATGTTGCTTCATATTTTGATATACTCCTAGCATAAAATACAGTACCTCTTAGCTTGCTCATTTCCAGCTTATGGAGCACTCTGACCCAAAGACTTCTTAAGTCATATTTATTTCTAGTCTGCCTTTGTGTTGTTTCTGTTGGCTGCTCTGGGTCCCGAATTGTACAGTTTTTACAGTTCAACTTTCTCATTCCATATTCACTGGGGAACAAGCAGGCCATAGGCTGGATACTGAAGAACAGAGAGGAAGGTTACTCACTCCCCCAGACCTCAGGCTATATGTAGTGGTCTAGTTCTCTGGGTTATTGAGGTCATCTTCAGTTCTTTTTGCTTTTTAGAATGTTTCTTCAAAATAACTTATACTTTATATATTAACATTTTTCCAGAAAAATGCTGAACTTTGCACACTCTCCAGAGGAAAATGTGACTCTCATATCTTTTCTGGTCCTACATAACAGTGGACATATAGTTCTAAGTAAGGAAATGCTTTTGTTTTTGCAGGTCTTATCATTTCTCTGCAGCTTCTTCGTGGAGACATGGAACAGATCCGGAGAGAAAATCCCATGATATTTAATAGGGGATTGGCAATTACAAGGAAATTGGGATTTCCTGATGTCATCATGCCAGGTAGGTGGAACTGCTTGGGGTGTGATGGGGTGGTGGTTTAGGGGGATGGAGTCTGGTGCTCCTCTCCTGAGCAGGTAGTGAATTGTGCTGTAGAGAAACTTGGCAGCCATTAAACGCCTTCACAACCCATGTCAGGTTGCTGACTGTAGTCCACAGCCAGTGGCCCCTTTGGCTTTTGTAGGCATGTCCTTTTCCACAAGCCCCCACATCACATTCACCAGCACAGCTTGACAATCCATCAGATAGGCTTTGTTGTCTGCTGTGAAGGCTGCACGGTAGGAACCAACACAGGGCTCTTCATAAGGAAGCCTTTTTACACCTTTTCTCTCCTATCACATTTCTTAGAAGAGAATTACCTCACAAGAATCTCTTCTTTGAGGGACAGAAAATACCAAAGTTTATACCTGCAGAATATTCCAATTCAGGTAGGAATGGCAGGTATTTTTCAATGTATCAGACAAAGGTATCAGGAGCCCTGATGGCACAGTGGTTAAACACTCAGCTGCTAACTGAAAAGCCAAGGGTTTAAACCCACTAGCTGCTCTGTGGGAGAAAGATGTAGCAATCTGCTTCCAAAAAGATTATAGCCTTGGAAATCCTATGGGGCAGTTCTTCTCTATCCTATAGGGTTGCTATAAGTTGGAATTGATTCTGTGGCAGTGGGTTCGGCTTTGTGAATAGACTACCTGGCCAGTTTCTCAGGCATGGTCTCATTCCCTTCATGTAATACCCAAAGTACACCTAGGTCAGAAAGTGGGAATGCTTTGACCTTCAGGTGTAGTTCCAGCAGGTCAATACCAGGTGTATGTTTTTTAGTAAAGGGGATATAGGCAGAACTGGAGAAGTGGATCCAAACAGGCCATGAGAGCCCAGAGGACAATAGGAGTAGAGGGAGAAGTAGAGGCATGGCTCAGATGGATAGAAAGTGGTCTCATAATCAGAGGAGATGTGAACAAGGAGAGGGAGACCAAACCAGGCAACTCTGTGTTTGGATGGGTTCTGGGGGTGTAGATCAGCCCTTCCAGTTGAGTTTTAATGATCTGTTAGAAGCTTGTTTGACTTTGTTTAAAAGGCCAGGTCATGCTAGACTGAACTGATTATGTTGTTGTTGTTATGTGCCATCAAGTCAGACCTGACTCATAGCGACCCTTCCTTGGGTTTCCGAGGCAGTATCACTACGGAAGTAGATTGCCCCATCTTCCTTCCGAGGAGTGGACACTCTAAATATCACCTATTCGGAGTTCCCTAAGTGCTCCCTAAATTTAGGTGCTTCCCTAAATCCTCTTGTCAGCAGTATTTGCCAGCATTACCCAAAGGGAAGTGTAGCCTGAGCATAAAAAAAGGCCCATATGATGGACTCCAGCTGCCTCTGGCCTCCCAGATTACACCGTTTTGTTTTCTCCTGCTCTCACTCTCTCTTCATGGGCACTAAATATAGAGCAAGATGCTGTGAACACCCTTCAGCTTCTGTTCATACACACAGGAGGGTCTTTTAGATGGGAAACCCAGGCCACTCAGTTGATTCCATGTTGATTTTTAAATGTTAAGGAAACATCTTCTAATGAAAGAGGGCCCTATCTGAATGTTGTAGAGATGACATCCTCGCAGATTTCTTCCATGCTGTCTTGACACCATTCCTCAGCTCTCTTTGGGCCTGGTAAGCAGGAAAGGCATATTTCCTGGCTTCTTGAAGATGTAACTTTGAAGAAAGAATGCATAGATACCAAAGTTGAAACGGTGATCTTTTTAAATTTAGTATCTAGGCTTATGTAGAAGGTAATGTATTCTAAGAGAAGGTACACTTGAAGCCCTTCCTTTTTCTAAGAACTTGTTTGTCTAAGATTTGGAAATTCCCTTTGTATTAGCCTTCACAAGGAGCTCTGGTGGTGTAATGGGTAAGTCATTTGGGTGCTAAACAAAAAGTCAGCAGTTCAAACCCACCAACCGCTCTGTGGAAGGAAGATGGGGCAATCTACTTCAGTAAAGATTTGCCACCTTGGAAACCCAGTAGGGGTTGCTATGAGTCAGAATCAATTCAATGGCAGTGGGTTTGGTTTTTTATTAGCCTTCACACACACATGAGATTAAAACCGAGTGAGCAGAAATTAGAAAGGAACAAACTTCAGTCGGATATGTACTTAAGCAAAATTTTATTTCAAGAGTTACATTGTCAAATCCACATCCATGGAAAGAGATCTATTTGTGGCACTCTCTGTATAGGGACACAGCTTTATAAAGGACTTCTACATATACTGGTCATGACTGTGGAAACCAGCAGTGTTGGGAATTTGTGACACAAGCTGAGATTAAGGGGGTTTGCCATCTCCTGGGCAGCTAACAGATCATCACATGATAAGTCCCACAAGACAGCCACTGGGTAATCCTGAGACGTCTAGGTTGGGGCTGTGAGGGTGCTGCTTTCTGAGTTGTCTGCCTTTGAGGTGCTGACTGCTGTAGCTGATAGTATGGATAGATTCACAGGCAGAAAGCAGCCCTTTGTGTATTATCTGTCCACTTCTCTACCCTTCCTCAGTTTGTAGAGAGAGTTTAGCTCCCCCTTTGCACAGATGACCAGTGTCAGGCTTGTGGATTGAAAGCAACTGGCAGCCTCTTAGTGCACCCCAAGATGGTATCCGAGTGGATTTGCCATCCTTAGGCAAGGTGATAGAGCTGGCCCTGCAGGTCATGATGGAGCAACCAGAAAAATGTGCAGGAGAATTTTATGTTATCATCAGCCTGTCTTGGAAATAATAACTGACAAGAAAACTCTTGATGAGTCCTGCAAGCATTGGCCACCCCTCCACCTACAGTTGGTCTGCCCTTCATCTGTGGGAATATTGTACCTGGGCTGCAACAGCCCTTCTCCCCATCTCCCTACTCTCACAGTGCTGATGTGACCAAGTTATGAGAAGCTGCAACTTTATCATCTTGATACACGGACACATGAGGAAAGAAATTGTGTTAGTAGCTGTGAGTGTTTCAATACTCAATAAATCTGAGAAACTAGAGTAACTGGGAATTATAATTACTGATAAGCTATAATCCTTGTTTTCAAACTACCCAGCATTTGGCAGAAACTGCCAGATACTTATTTGGAAAGTGTCTTTTTGTCAGATGGTCTGGATAGGCCTTTGTCAAAGCATATTGGCAGAGCTGTAAAAAAGAGTTCAGACAAGCTCTAGCCAAACAAATATACAGCATACCATTTCTAAAACGATCTGCCCTGTGTCTACCATTGCTTTCTATTGGGTGGGAATGCTTTCCATGGATGCTGTGAACAGGAGATGTGCTTCTCTGCTCCCACCTGAGGTCCTCCCAACACAGCTGCCCAGCTCTGCTCATGACCCACAGTAATGAGCCAGAAGCAGCAATGGCATTGCTGGTATTCTGGGAGCCTCCCTGCTGAGTGGCAAGCCAGGGCGGGGCATGCTAACCAAGGAAATATCATCCGAATTATAGATAAATGAACAGATTTGGGGATTTAAGCCATTTTTTGAGGCTGAGCACATACAGCCTTTCATTGGTTGATCACCATATTTCTGTGGGTATTTGCTCCTTCCCTCCAAACTTGTTTTAGTTCAGTACAAAAGCCAGTAACTAGGTAGCGCACTTTTAGTCCTTTTCTAAATATTTTTCAAGATGAACAGAAAAGACAGGAGCAGGACAGGTGTGCCAGGTAAAAGAACAGAAGTTAACATTGTTCCTGTGGCTCACATGTCAGAATTAGAATTAGCCATGATAAAACTTGGGGGGGTGGGGAACACCTCTAAGCCAAAAGACTGTAACTGAAAGGAATAATTACGAATGATTGAAAACCTCTTGCTCAAGAAGGGGCTTCAACCTTCTCCCAGCCTTGTCTAGGCTAACAGAGATGTGCCACCACCTTTTACATCCCTCTCTAATTTTTAACTTTCCTGGAAAGTCTCTGCCCCAGGGTCAGTGGGAGTACAGGGCTCTGTGCCAGTAAATGTTTCAACCTCTTTTCTAATCCTTGAGTTTCTAAGGTTATCAGTGACGGTGTGTGATACGGGCCAAGTTTCATATTAGTCGAATGATCTTCTTTCTTGTCCGAAGAAGTCAGTTCAGTTGGCCCTGTGTTTTAATATTAAATATTTGATATTAGTGTAGCTGATGACTAAAGCTTTCCTAAAGCAGTGGTTCTCTTATTTGAATGTGCATCAGAATCACCTACAGGGCTTGAAAAAACAGATTGCTGGGTCCATCCCAAGAGTTTAGATTCAGTAGGATTAAATTAGGGCCCAAGAATTGGCACTTCTCATACACTCGCAGGTGATAGTGATGCTGCTGGTCTAGGACCCTTTGAGACCCATGTCCTAAAGAGCATTCTGCTTAAGGGATGCTTTGCCCCTCCCTGAGTTAGACCTGGGGCAAGTGCTGTTTCTCTCAGGTTGCCCTGAATTTGCCCATTAGAAGGCAGCTCTGCAGACTTGGCATCCCTCTACGGGACCCTCTGACTCTTGCCCTTGTGCTCAGAAATACACTCTGTCCTTTGCTTTGATCCCTAATTAAAAAAAAAAAAAAGTGCATGCTTCATCACTGACCTGTGAGTGATGTTTCTTTCTCTTTTCCTGTTTGTCTTAATTGTTCTTGTTTCTCTCTGTGCTATCCCCTCATTCTCTCCCCTTTCTTTCTGATGCAGAGATGAAGATAGTTGGGTGTAAGTTTCTGCTTTTGTGTGTCCTGTCTGCTTATTGCCTGCTTTGTTCCCATCTTCATTTGTTTCATGGAATGTTAAAATACTGGGGTGGGGTGCCATATACATTATTAATCCTTCATCATCGTCATCTTTTGTGGGTAACTGACAAGATGCAAAAAGAGAAGCTACCAGCCCAGCCTAAAAGATTTCAAAAGGCCTAACTTTAGGTATTCATTAAGAGCCAAGGAAACTGAGGAAAGAATGGAATGTTTAGAAAACTTGTAAGTTGGAGGTGAAATAGAACAGGGTATAGAGACAGGACAGGATTTTTATGAGACATAGG